ATACATCGCGGCGGCCGAAGCGGACCGCGAATCGTCGTGGTTGCGCGGCCTCATGACCGACCTCGGCGTTGCAGCCGACACGCTCACCCTACACTGCGACAATATGTCTGCCATCGCTACGTCCAAATCTACAGCGATCAGTGAGCGCACCAAACACATCGACGTGAGACATTATTACCTTCGCGAGCTCGTTCAAGCCGGCGCATTGGCCCTCAAGTTCGTCCCCACGACAGAGATGCGAGCCGACGTCTTGACCAAAGTCGCGACGAAGTTCGCATCCGAGTAATTTCGAAAATGGTCAATGGCAAACTGCCTGACAGAAAACCCCCACCCCCAAGAGAATGGACCAATGACAGGCCTGCATCCCCAAGAAAATGTGCCAATGACAGGCCAGTCAGCCCAAGAGAATGGGCCAATGACAGTGCAGTCTATCGATGATGGAGTCATCAGTCATCAGGGTTAGGGGAGTGTTGAAGTTCGGTATGTTGATGGCAACGGAATCATCCGGATACCGCAAACTTGAACCCTGGATGACAATGTTTATCACCAGGACAGCATTGCACACTTACATCATTGCACCAGAGACGAAGATGCAGCGATCATCAAGGGCATTGGCGCTAGGTCACCTTCAAGTGCGTAGGCAGAAGAGAACAACAGGATATATGTGTTGAAGTAGTTCATTAGCTTAACACTCCTTAATCACTTTTCGATTTCCTATCTTGTTCGTAAGTCGCTCGCTAACGCAAGCCGCCTGCTCCCAAGCCGCAAGTCGCATCCCATCAATTCAACAACAACTTTACGGCGGATCGGATTTTCAACATGGACGAGACGTCCTTCGCATCCCGGCGGAAGTCTAAGGACGTCGTGGCGTTGAAGGGCTCACGGAACGTTTGGGCTAAGACTGTTCCGACAAATTTTCATCTGTCGATTGTAGCGTGCGGCAGCGCCGACGGCATGATCCTGCCTCCGTTGTTTCTTTTGCCTGGTGAATCTGTCAACAAGGACTTGGGTACCTACTGTTCGGTACCTGGTGCTACTGTCACTACGACCCCGAAAGGGTTTATGAATGAAGATTTATTTGAGAAGTGGATTGAATATTTTTCTTCTATTGTCGATGAAACCATTCAGCGTCCGATTTTGCTTGTATTTGATGGATTAGCTTCGCATTATTCCAAAGAAATTGTTACATTGTGTGCGAAGTTGGACATTATTTTAATGTGCCTGCCTTCGAATGCTACGCATCTTTTTCAACCGTTTGATGTTTCCGTGTTTGGTCCGTACAAGAACGCAATCCGTCGAGCAAGCTTTGACGCCATGGTTGCTGATGGTACAAATGATTAGCTCAATAAATATGTTTCAATTGCTAACATAAATTCAACACTTTTTAGAAACAGGAGACATGCACTCCATCTCGAAGGCTACCGCAATTACAATCGCTTCCAACGCATGGACATCGCACATCCTGTCGTCGAATGTCGTCAGCGGGTTTCGTACTGCTGGCCATTTCCCGCTATCGTTAGAGCAAATGATGAAGCGATTCAATTTGTTCCAAAAGGGGGGAGTACCTGCAGCGTATGTTCACGCTGAGTGGCTAGAGCAACAAGACGCCCTTCGACGTCAGCTGCTGGCGTTGCCTGCAGAACAAGCAAAACGCGTGGGTCCGAAACGAATCACCGTAGCGGGACGCATTCTTACCTTGGCCTTGATGCAAGAGATCGACAAAACGAAAGAAGAGCGCGCCAAGGCTGCTAAAGAGACCAAAGCTCTGAGAGCGAAGCGCGCAAAACGCAAGGCGAAGCGACGAACCTGCGACGTGGACGACGTGGACGGCGCGGCTACAGCCCAGCACGATGACGAAGGGCCACCCGACAGCGAAAGAACGCAGGACACCGCATGGGCCCAGCAGGACCAAGGACCGCCGACTGCACTTGACTGTGTTGTCCTACAAGAAGCATTAGTTTAATAGATCGTCTTTTCATATCATTTGCCTCCTGAACTTACTCCTCACAAGATTTTGGTTTTGACGGCCCGTGGAAAATTGGAAAATGATCTTGTCCACGAACCGACACGCAGAATTCACCTGCAGAATACATAACCTGTCGCCTTGAATCTTTTGCTGGTCATAATTAATAACCTAACCGCACAAATTGGAAGCAATTTAGTATAGTGAATCCAAGTGTAAAAGCTACAACTTTAACTGGCACAGCCAAGTAGAGCATTTTCGCGTATAAAATGGTCAATTTGCATGTCTAGACCACCGCAAAACATGATAAATTGACGATGCCGCCGTTGACCTTCAAATTCTACAACGATAGGAAGTTGCAGAATGCGATTTCGATGCCTCAGACCCACGACATGCCCATTCTCCTGCAAGGGAAAAAGTTGTATTGTAATTGGAATTTGCACGACCGCCATCGTACAGATACTGATTGGTCAAAATATTAAATTCCTTGGATATGATTGGCCACTTGATTTCATGGGAGCGTCGACCAAGACATTCCCCAGAGAGCCTCGCCATGCTTACGAGTGCCAAGTCAAGGTGCATATCGCGGCCAGTACACCTAAGTGTATATATGTAGAAGTCATGTATCGAAGTCGATACCGCATATCTCTTCTGCGCTTACATAGAGCCTGCATTCTGCGAATGATTACGGCACTATACTGCGTTTCTGTCTTTCGCACAAGGCCACTTGCTTTCACGTAAAAGATGTAATCTTGCTCAAACTCCTACCGGTACAGTTTGCTCACACTTGTGTGGCCATATATCGGTAAATTAACGTTAGCGTGCATTGCAAGCTGCACGGTAAATGTCCACGATAGTGTTGTCGAACGAGTTTTCAACATCCACCTTTTATGTAGTAAGTATGTCACGAGTGTTGAGAGCATTCAGTTGTAGTGTCAGCCTCCAAATCGAGTTATCGTCCACGACAACCAAGTGAGGAAGGAACGGAGGATAAAGAGCAAGTAGAAATGCAACGTGTATCAAAACTGACATATTTTGGATGTCTAGTCTGCCGCCCTATTGCAGGCTAACGTTATGCGCCTTCCTGCAATACTCAAATGTGGTTGCAGTATTGTTGAAAATGAAGTTAACTTATCACAACACATCGAGCTCGAATTACTACCGTTGCGATCACGAACACGCCAAAAAGCTTGCGATTTCGCCATGATTAGGGTCTGGGCAGTGCGTCTATATAAATCTCAATTCGGAGTCAAGCCGACCATGACATGGTTTCTATAGTTTGATTTCACAATGTCAATTGCAAGCTGGGCAGATTAATAGCGTAAAACTGTGCTGTGGATGTTGGAGTATACTAGTATGTACTGGTACTCTCTACCAAATCGTCAGTACTGTAAACCCAGAGTATTTACTGAGCACACTACTAAATTCATACCGCCCTGTCATTTCAACGACATACATACCGGTATATATACTGTACTTCACCACATCACGTTACTGAAATAAGTTCCATCAGTCGCATGGCATTTCTATCTCCAAGTTGTCGTGACTGGATGGAGTTTGACCACCTTTGTGGTTTTGCACATTATAGCCAATAGAAATGTTTAGCTTACAGCCTGACGTGCGTCGTGCAAATTCGATTTATATCACGTCAAATTCAAATATCTTGATATTTGTATTTAGGGGTTCATAGTTTCTCGATGGAAACGGAATTTGTCCGACGCTCGTCGTGCACGAAGCCTTATAACCGGATGCCGGTCGTGTAAAAACCGTATTATGTACTACATTAATTGGCATTCTACGTTACGATTGCGCAAAACCATTCGCTACTTGACCCGTTATATGAGTTATTGTATGGTCATGAAGTTTGGTAAATGCGAAAATGCAGGCCAGCTGTCCTACACGTCTCTCTTGATTGTTGTATATCTGGCCTACAAAATCTGATGAATAAAAATTGATTATTTTCCTAACTAAATTGATTCCCCCTACTTCCTAGGGCATGTAAACTCCCGCTTTCCCTGGCACAGCCAACACTAACTTGTAAGAGCATCTGCACCGGTGCCAGTAAATTTGACCCCATTATCCGGATAACTTGTTCGGATAAGCGAGTTACTGGCGCTGATCTCGCACACCAAGTCAGTAACGTTAAAACAGATTGCACTTGCTTCGTGATGGATTCTGCTGCATGGGACTCTCCAGTGAATGTAGAGACCATCACCAGTTCTATAGTACAGTATTGGAAATGTTACCGTTGCCCTCATGTAGCAAACCAGCTTGTCATTCACTATACCGGTACCTCTGTGTGCATTCGGGACTACTGTTATACATTGCCGGGCTTAGAAATGACTTGCAGTTTGATCGTTTCCGACGATTAGATCGAGCGAGGCACTCAGCCATGCGTGACACAACTGCACCGCTGCACCTGCTCATGTGGGGTGAAGTTTCGGGAGCGTTCCTTCATTGCCTGTTTTGCTTTTATGTATGTATACTGACGTTTATTCGCGTACATCTAACTAAGAAATCATTTGCGTCTACAGCTAGCAGATTTCGTATAACGTTACCAGTACGTCGAACATCGGACGTCTGAGTGCTGGGGAATGGTGGGGCATGCGGTGACAATCTGCTCGGCCAGGAAGCCGCGGACAAGATCCTTCCACCCGATCTTGTCCGCGGCGGTGGAGCGGAGGGCCTGCAGGTCGGTCAGGCACGTGAGGCGCTGGAGCCGGGGACGGTCTTGAGGTCAGCGTTGAGGACGCGAGGCAGCGACGTGATGGGCGCCCAGGCCAATCCTCAGCAACGGAAAAGCTGAAGGACCGGGCCATGGACTTGTAGGCCGCTGGGGCCTCCTTGGCCACATCCTATGGGGTTGATGGGATACCGGAGGATGTGGCCAAGGATCCCCAACAGTAATCCTCCGGATTATGGCCAAGAGAATTTCACCTCCATATATCTCTGCATGTACGTTACTCCAGTCCAAGTACACAACTCGTGTAATACAAATAATACAAATGAATAATACAGTACTGGAGGAACTGTCCACTTAATGCGCAATCAAGACCTTGTCCTTGGGGGTTTCCGCGCCTTCGTAGGCCTCCTCGTGGGTCTTTTCTTCCATGTACGTCTTAACCGAGATGAAGGCGAGCACGAGACCGACGGTGGAGAGCGTCCAGTTGACAATGATGTTGGACACGGGCGAGATGGGGATGCCGCCCAGACGCCAGCCCACAGCAGCCATGCCAGATTGCACGCACTTGTAGTAACCGGCGTAGCGACCCAGCGTGGACATGTCGTCCGAGAACTGACCCATCAACCAGTACGCCCACACTTGCACGATCGAGTCGTTGAACCCGTAGAACATGTACAGCAAAAACTTGAGCCAGAACGCGCCTTCTTGGAAATCAATGTTCTTGTCCTTCTTGCCGTTGCCCAAGTCAAACTCCACTTGCACCCACATGGCCGAGCCCCACATCAACATGATGAGCACGGCGATCACAAAGATGGACTGCAACGCCTTGGGCTTCTTGCTGCCAGGGCGATCGAGGTACTTGCCCACGGTGAACGCGCCGAGCATCTGCGACCCCCAGTAGAACGCAGACGCGAACGAGCTGGACCGGGTGTTGAACAGCGACGTGTTGAAGAACGAGTGGTACTGGTAGAACCAGTTGGAGTACGCAA